CATCACACCTCGGCACCAAAGTTCAGTCTGAGCCTTGTCCTCTTCTTTGGGGACCTCAGGCCATGAGGGACAATGGCTGTGGATGGCTCAGTGTCCTGCAACACAAGTCAGGTGAGTAGACACCGAGAAATCTTGAACTCAACGCATTTCTTTGAGGAAAAGAAAAAAAAAAGAAGAAACAAATTTTCTGCTTAACATCCAGAATGACTCAATAAACCAGCAAAATGACTCCAAAATTCTTTACTTGCTTTCTGAGGAAAATACCATTGAGTGATTTCATAGAATCCTTGACAAAGACAACAGTCATCTTCTTTTTTTCCAGTTACTTCAGGCTCTGTAGCTCTCCGATTTTCCATACTGGTTACAAATGTGATGTTGATTAAGACACTGGAAACAGAAATCCTCTTGAAAGAAGCATTTTTCTCAGATGAACTCCTTAAAACTCTTCAAGCAAAGCCACTAGCCTGTGACATTTAAAAAGGAGAGCCATGGAGCCATCCTGCTGGGAATAAGGCCACTGGCTGGTTCTGCTCTGCTACCATTTAAATCTCAAAGGTCAAAAGAAAATGTTCCCAGTAGTTTCTCCATGGAAAAAAAGATTGGGCATGAGCTGGGGAACGTTTGTTTTTTTTTTGCTGGTGGATTTTTTAATTCAAAACAGACTCAATAGGAGTTTTTCTTCAAAACGCAACCAAAGGGTTAATAACAGTATGAAGGAAAATAAGACTCCAGATTTGGCTTAAATTTGGCACTTCACTGATATTGGGGGTTTGAGTGCTTGACCCCATCTAGTGGCACTCCAGGAACGAGGAGAAACCCCAGCCCATGGGGGTTTGTCGAGATCACTTTATCCTACATGGGACAGAGCCAGAGCTTCTTCCCCTAGCCCTGCTGTGCTCTCCTGTCTCTAGCTGCACAGCAAGGCAGGGCTGGCACGCGGAGGTGATTGATTCCCTGTGTGCTCAGCCCCAGGTGCAACTGAGAAGTGCAGAGGGAGCTGTGTGCCAAGCAAGTGGGTGATGGACTGCTGACTGAGAAGATCCTTGTTGGAATTCAGGACATCCCTCTGGCTGTCCTGGACTGCCAGGACCCCTGCCAGGTGCCTGTGGTTTTGATTATGACCCATGGAGCAAATTACCAACCTTAGATGAAGAATTGCAAGCCACGACAGTTTAAATAGAATGATAGTGAATTTATCACAGGGTGAAAAATAGATTTTTGGGGTTTTTAGAATGGGGCTTCAGGGGGCAAGATGGAGGAATCGGCATGTCCAGCCTTTCTCCTTCTTCTTCTTGGCCTCCATCTTCTGCTGTGATGTTGGCACTTTGGGATTGGTTTAGAGTAGAAGCTCACGGTCTAACATAGGTGATAGGTATTGGAAAGTAATTGTAAACATGTACACGTAGTTTTTAGTATAAAGGCGTAACACCACCCTGGAGGCAGGCAGAGTGCCTGGACTGTCTTGCTGAGCTGACCTCAGCTGGACAGGAGAAAAAAATTTATAGATAAGATACAACAAACAACCTTGGGACTGAGAACTGAAGAGTTTTGACTCCTTCTTAGACTGCCAGGTTGGGAAAAGAGACTTTCTAACGTATCTTGGGGTCACTCTGACCAGCTAGAGAACGCGAGAGATCCTTTACAAATAAATAAACTAAGCAGCACTTGTTTCCCCCAGGTGTGCATCCCTTGTTTCCCCCAGGTGTGCATCCCTTGACCCCAGTGGATGCTGGATAGGAAGAAGGTTACACTGGAATTTCATTTTTCACCCAGCTCCAAGAACAAGTGACCTCTTTGAAGCTGTTTTGTGCAGAGCCCTGGATCTGGAGCATGGCTGTAATCCAACAGCCTTTGATCTTCCCTCCTGCATGACCATACCTCTACCAGCTTGAGGTCTCATAGGTGGAATCTGCTGGCCTGGGCCACCTCAGGTCCCTCCTAAAGCTGCCCCAGCTTGGAGAGGTGTTCAGCCAGCTCTAGAGGAGATGCCAATGCTGTGGTCAGCTTTGGTGAAGGCAATTTTTTGCCTCTGGAAGGTCAGTTTAGCTCAGTGCCCTCTTCTCCAGGCTGAATAGACCAAGTGACATCAGCAGCTCCTCATACAGCTTCTCCTCAAGGCCTTCACCATCTCATGGCCCTCCTTGGGACACTCTCTAATAGTTCAATGACTTTTTAATATTATGGTGCCCAAACCTGCCCCCAGCACTCGGGGTGAGGCTGCCCCAGCCCAGAGCAGAGCAAGAAAATCCCTTCCCTTGCCTGGCAGGCCATGCTGGGCCTGGTGGCCCTGGGACTGGGATGTCCCTCCTGGCCAGGGTGCTGCTGATTCACATTCAATTTCTCTCAACCAGGACTCCCAGTCCCTTTCCTTGGTGCTGGTCCTCAGCATCTCACCCCCCAGGCAATGCACACAGCCAGAGTTACCCCATCCCAGGTGCAGAATCCTTCATTTTCCCTTGTTGAACTTCATCCAGCTGGTGACGGCCCAGCCCTCAGATTTGTCAAGGTCTCTCTGCAGGGCCTCCCTGGCCTTGAGGGAGCCAACAGCTCCTCCCAATTCAGTGTGATCAGCACATTTATTTAGCATTCATTACAGTCCTGTGCCCAGGTTGTTGGTGAGGGTGCTGAAAGGCACAGGAGCCCTCCAGGACCCCGCCAGGGATGGGACACCAGCCTGATGTCACCCCTTCACTCCAACCCTTTGTGCCTGACCTGTGAGCCAGCTGCTCACCCACCACTCCACACATTATCCCACTGTGGGCTGGACATTTTGGGCTGGACATTTTGCCCAGAAGGACATTGGGACAGACAGACATGGCCTTCAGCCCTTCCTCTGGGACGTGCTGTCACCATCCTGCTTTCCAGCGGGCTGATGGTGCCTCCTTTATTTTAATAACTCCTGGGAAGGATTTCAAAGCCAGACAGCTCTTCTTTCATAACCAGCAGGTCCCTCTGCCCTCGCTGCTGTGCCCCTCTGGGGCTGCCAGCACACAAACCTACTTAGTTTAGCTGCACTCTCCTGCTGCAGAGCATTTACAGCTCTCACCTGCACAGTGCAGGGTCCCGGGGGAAGCAGCCGGGTTTGTCCCTTCCTTTACCCCGCAGCGAGGTGAAACAGCTCCTCCTCCTCCCAAAGCCAACAGCACACCCTGCGGCAGCACCGCTGGAAATTCAGGATGAGGCCATGGAAACGCAAAAATTGGCTCTGAGCAGCTGCAGCCACAAGCAGAGCTGGGGAAGGATGCTCGGTCCCCAATGCCAGCTGGGGCTGGAGCTGAGCCCTTCCAAACTCAACAAGTGTTGCTATAATGAAGCTTGTTCCTCGTTATTGGTGGACAAGAAGCTTAGCATTGATTTAATGAGTTCCCCTCAGAAGCCTCCACTGCTGCATTCCTTGGAAGATTAAGGGCTGCTGCTTTTTATCCCCCCTCCCTTCTGCTTCTTTCTAATGATGTTACTGAGCAGGCAGGAGAATCTGAGCTGTGCCCTGCTTACCGCTGGATGAACCCCATTTACACGGCTTTTTTACTTCAGGAATCCTTCCAAGCATTACACGGGTGGGATTTTACATCTGACAAAAGAAACAGTTAATATTGACCGAGATTAAACCCCCTTTAATGCCGCCTGAGTTTGCATTTGCTTGCTCATGTGACTGTGCCTCTCCCGTGCCTTCCTTTAGTGCTAAAAGTACTCTCCAGAGGCTGGTTGGAGAAATGCTGTATTTTTTTTTTTTTAATCCAGCATAGATGACAAACACTGTGCATTACCAACATCTACGGAAACACTCACCATCCTTTTGAAATTTCAGTACAAAAATTCCAGTACAATTTTTGTACTGAACTGTACAGGTACCAGGAGGCTCCATTCAATCCGTGTTTCTGGGGGCCCACAATTTATTAAACAACCAATTTATTAAACCCTGGAAAAAGAGAATCAGAGCCCTCAGCTCAGCAGGGCCAGCAGGGACAATCTCACGGCAGCACAGGGACCAGCATCACCACTAAGCTACGTCTGAGACGGATCAAGGGGAGCAGCTTTCTCTGGGGAACGCGGCACAGATCTGAATTCTCCACGGTCTTGTTCTCTCTCTTGCTCTCCAAAGTCACAAAGGATGTGACTTTGAGCGGTGGTAGTGAATTTCCAGGGCAGTGTGGAGGTGTGTGGTGGGATGGGACTGCGAGCACCAGCTCTCCATTCACTCACACACCACAGGGGACAGAAAGGGACACGGCATCGCTGCTGCTTCTTTACAAAATTAAAAACAAAAGGCGACATTGGGTGAACCGAAAATTTAGAGCAGGGAGGCGAGAGTGATGTGAATTTTGCAAATCAGAGTTTACTTGCTCCGGAGCTCTCGGTTACAGAAAAGGCGCTTGGTTTGCGGCCAAAGAACCGCTGACAAAGAGAAGGGGGGAAATAAAAAAGGCTTGCAGAAAGGCGTCGGCATTGTTTGCGTTTAAAAGCAGCGGGCTGTCAGCCCGACAGCGTGAGAGCTCTCCCTTTTAGCCAGGACACATTCAGAGAGAGCCAGGACACGTTTCTCCCTGCGCTGTGACCCGTGCTGAACCAAACAAGGCAGGCAAAGTTTGAATTATCGGCGTTACCGAGCATTAACTTGGGCAGGGGCGGCAGAGGGTCCCCGCACCCCCGGCACTGCCGGGCCGGGCGAGGTGCCCAGGGGCAGAACCAGCCCCCAGGAGCTCGGAAAGCTCAATCCCTGCTCCCACTGCCTGGGGGGGACACCTCGCCCCGGGCTGAACTTTGTAACACAGCGCGATGCTGCTCCGGGAGGGGAAACCGAAAGCGAGCATCCCCGCGGCGGCAGGGAGAGCTGGCAGCGATTCGGTGTTGGCAGCGTCCAGCCCTCCCCTGTGCCAGCCTCCCCTTCCCCTTTAAATAAACACCCGTGCACGAAGCAGCGGGCACGCAGGATCCCCCCCTTCCCATGGAAAAGGGATGCGGAGCCCGTCCGGGAGCGGCCGCAAAAACAGCGAAAGTACCTTTTGGATTCTCCCGTCAATGTCCAAATAAATGCATTTGGGCCGGTAAGTGGAGGAGGCCGATCCCATCTTGCCGCGGCTGGGCTCACAGCGGGCTCGTTCCCGGCGTCAATCAGAGCAGAAAATCAGCTCTGTCCCAGCCGGCCGAGCCAGCGCTGCCCGACAGTTCGGTGTCCCCGCTCCGCTGTATCCCGCCGTACTCTCATTCTGGGAAGGTCCCTCCTCTAACATGCATGCATTTTGCTGTGCCTCTGTCTCTCCCTGCCACCTCCTTTTAGTTTTGCCTCGCTCCGGATCCAGCTGCCTCGGACGGGGAGAGGCACGGGCTCCAGATGCTGCCGGCGAGCCCCCTCTCCATCCCCATGGCAACAACCCCTCGTGGCTCTGAGGCTGGGCATCCGCATTCGGGCTCTGACCCCGGGACTCACCAGCTCGGGATCAAGGGGCATTTATCCCCCAAGGGGGCTGCAGAGGAGGAATAACCCCTTTATCGGGGTGCTGAGAGATATAATTTAATTTTACGCTGAAATAGGACCGTATTTATTAATGTGTGCCCCTCCTGAGCTGCTTGCACAGTGACACGCTCCCGTCTGGAAGTGCCCTGTGCTGGAAGTGTCCTTTCAGACACCCAGCCGAGGCTTGCACCGTCTCACTCCAAACTCAGCAGCTCCATCTCCACATCCCTCCCGTTACCATCACCAGGACAGAAGGAGCTTTTTTCCCCCTCTGTAAGATCCAGCAGCACGAAGAAACCACAAACCCCATCCTCTCGCCCACCGCCATCCGCGCCACCCCCGGAGCGAAGGGATTTGTTATTTAGGGGAATGTGGAGCCTCCTGGCAGAGGCATCACCCCCGAGGAGGGCAGGAGGGAGCGCAGCCCCAGCGATGCTCCCGGAGAGATGCCGGGTGCCCTCTGCTGTGCCCGGGGCAGCGGAGCTGGGCACGGCTCGGGCGCGGAGCTGGGAGGCAGCAGAGAGGATGCACAGGCAGCACACAGCCTGTCCTGACAGCCTGAACTCTGGGTTTTCTGGGGATTTTCGTGGAGAGGCTGCAAAAACATTTTCTGGCCTCTTCTGTGCTGTGCTGGTTGGGGCAGCGCAGTCAGGGATGCTCAGCCTGCCCACCCTGAGCCCTCTGTACAGCCAGAGAGAGACAAAACTGACCCCAGCAGAGGCCAAGGGGCTTGGCTGTGGCTTCTCCTTGGCTGTGCCTTCTCCTTGGCTGTGGCCTGTCCTTGGCTGTGGCTTCTCCTTGGTTGTGCCTTCTCCTTGTCTGTGGTTTGCTGCCCCAGGGAAGGCAGGCAGGGCTCTGCTGCTCCACAAAGGGGATTTGTAGGGCTGGAGGGATGCCTGGGTCCCAGAGCTGCCTGGCAGTCAGAGCTGGGCTGACCCTTCAGGCTGAAGGCAGTGGTGCTTCTAAAGCTCTCAGAGGCAGCAGCAAGGTGGTTTTTTTGGGGAGTGCAAGTTTTGCTTCACATCATTCCTCTGCCAGCTTGGAGCAGGCAGTGCGAGTGTCTCAGGAGGGAGCCCTGGGCACTGCAGGGTTGTCCTGGGGCTTGTCCTGCCCCCTCAGCTGTGCCACAGCCTGTCCCATACCCCACTACCTACTCGATTCTCCTCTGGGCTGCATTGCAGTCTGTCCATCCCACAGATTATCCTGGAAACTCTCCCAGAGGCTGATCCCTCAGATTGCCCCACAGGTGATCCCTGTGGCTGTTCTGAGCTTCTCCCACTTCAACAGCCCTTCCACACCAGCCCCACTGCTCTGCACCCCAGTCAGGACCCCTGTGACCCCCCACTCCACACCCTGCTCTGCTGAGCACTGCCTCTATCCTGTTTTGCTGTGGTTCAGCCCTCAGTGACCTGACTGACCCAGCAGGCTCCTGGGGAAGATGGACATGATGACAAAAATGCAGCCATTGGGAAAGAGACAACAAGAACACTCCCTCTGGGGGATGCACATGGGGCATTTGGGGTTGGAGAGGAGGATGCTGAGCTCTCCCACTGTCATCACCCTCTCCAGGAGTGGTCAGACATCATCACTGGGGCATTTCAGGATTTGATCACACATCACTGAGATATCTAATGATCAGTATCACACTGGTGAGAACCTACTTTTTGATTATTTTTAATTTTTTTATTTTTTTTTTAATGTGACCAAGGGCAAAAGGACAAGCTCTGAAATCCAGGTGATGATCCCAGTCTGCCTCTCCACTGTCCTTGCCCTGTCTACTCTCCCTGTGTATTTAAAATTGTGTTTCTTAAGCTCCATCCCCCTCTCCCTAATTACAGTAATGCTTGTTGGAAAAACTGCTTTGCTGTACAGCTGCTGACTGTTGCTCTTTTCAAGAACTTCATGCAGAAGTGAATCTTCAAAAGCTGAGCACTCAGAAATGATGACAAAAGCCTGATGCAATCAAAGGCCCAGTTTAAGACCAAGCCTGAAAGATAAAATTCATCAAAGAGAGTGTGCAGCTCCAGCAGATCACTGCCTTGAGCTGCTTTAACCTTCCAGAGTCTCCTTATTTCAGTATACACTGGGCAATGTGGGGCAAAAATTATTGGGAAGCATTATCCTGTCTCATCAAATCCTTCCAATCCAAGACCAAATCCAAGCAGTAGAGTGCCAGACAGTGATTTTCCATCGTTTGCCTTAAAGGAATGTTCTGCCCAGCTCAGGGCAGTGCCAGGCTCCTGTGCCCCTGACCCCATCAGGTGTTTCACTGCTCTGCTTTGCCTCCCCTGGGTTTTTTACTGAGGCCAGCACTTCCCTCTGTACTCTCATTCCCTGGAATGTTCCTTTTGGAGAGCTCAGGGTCAATCCCAGGGATGTGGCAGTGTCCCAGCCAGGTGTCCCTTACCCCAGGGGTGCTCCCAAGGGATGACAAAAGCAATTCTCTCTCCCAGCCCTGGTGTCAGCTCCATGTGCAGAGGCAGATTTTTAGGGTTTCCAAGGAGGAACCAGAGGATGCTCAGATCCCTCATTGCCCTGGGATTGTGCTGATTGAGGCACAGCTCAGCCAGGCTGGCTTTGCACGGGCTGAGATCTCCCCCTGCTGCAAACCCTGCTCAGAGGAAGAGGGAGAAGCTGTGAGGATGAAGGGGCTGCTCAAGTCACCCTCCATGCAGGCCTGGGGTGGCACCATTGCTGTCCCCTCCCATCCGTGTCTTTCCCCAGCCCTGAAGTCACTGACACAGCCCTCAACCTCCCTCAAACCTGGTTTTCTTGCTGCAGTCAACAAATTCAGTGCCCCTTGCAACCCACTGTGTGCCCATCCAGACCTGGGCACTGCACATCAAGGGTCTTCAGAGGGACTGAAATGAGGGAAAAAGAGCCAGAAAATGCAAAACTTACAGTGAAACATTTTGTACTTCAAAAAAAGTTTGCCTAGAATTAAAAACAGGGAATAGAAAATGTGACAGTGTTCACAGGGGTTTTTGGATTGGGGAAGAGACGAGGATCTGACTCCATGTTTCAGAAGGTTTGATTTATTATTTTATGATATATATTATGCTAAAACTATACTAAAAGAATAGAAGAAAAGATTTTATCAGAAGGCTAGCTAAGAATAGAATTGCAAAGAATGATAACAAAGGTTTGTGGCTCGGACAGAGAGTCCGAGACAGCTGACTGTGATTGGCCATTAATTAGAAACAACCACATGAGACCAATCACAGATGCACCTGTTGCATTCCACAGCAGCAGATAATCATTGTTTAAATTTTGTTCCTGAGGCCTGTCAGCTTCTCAGGAGGAGAAATCCTAAGGAAAGGATTTTTCATGTAAGATGTCTGCAACAAGAAAACAGAATTAAAAACATGAAATCAACTTTCTTCCTTACCAGTTCCATATCTTCAAGTACTTTCTCTGCCCATTAATCCCTCCTGCTGCAGGTCCCTTGTGTCTGTCTGTCTCCATCTCCCCAAAGGGCCCTGACCTGCTGCTTTACCTCTCATTCCTCCAACCTGCCAAAATTCCAGATTGCCCCTGGAGCTGGGAAGGTTTCCCTTCCCCTCCCACAGCTCCTCTTCTCCCTACTTCACTCAGTCTTCTCTCCCTCTTTTCACCCTCTTTGGTGTTTTGCCATTTTTGCTTCTGGGTTTTTTATTTTTTCCCCCACAGACCTGAAGTCATGCAGGCTTTCTGCCGGAATTAACTTTCTGATTGGAAAAAACTTCCTGATTCAACAGCCAAATGGTGGCTGTGGCAGTGGGAGCCCCAACGACCTTTCCAGCCCAGCTCTCCCTCCTCTCCCTAAACCTACAGAAAGATCATGATGTGCTGCACATGGAAATTTTACCCCATTTCTTTGCACTTTTCTTTTACACTCTGCCAGATTTCCTCAGGCCCAGTCCTGGAAGTGATCATATTGAATGTTAATTAGAGAATGACTGATTATTAATATTAGAACCTGTCGCAGACATCTTTCCATGAAAAATCCTTTCCTTAGGAATTTTCCTCCTGGGAAGCTGAAAGGCCTCAGGAACAAAATGTAAACAATGGTTATCTGCTGCTGTGGAATGCAACAGGTGCATCTGTGACTGGTCTCATGGGGTTGTTTCTAATTAATGGCCAGTCACAGTCAGCTGGCTCAGACAGAGAGTCTGAGACAGAGCCTTTGTTATCATTCTTTCTATTCTATTCTTAGCTTAGCTAGCCTTCTGATGACACTTTTTCTTCTATTCTTTTAGTATAGTTTTAATGTAATATATATAATAAAATAATAAATCAGCCTTCTGAAACATGGAGTCAAATCCTCATCTCCTCCCTCAACATAAGACCCCTGTGAACACCATCACAAGAACCTTCATAGATTTGTCCACACAGGCCCTGAACGCCCTGAAAGTGATGTTTGGTCCTTTCCCAGCCAGCAGCACAGCTCTGCACCTCACTCCTGGCTCCAGTCCCGTTTTTGGGTCCTGTTGCCCTCCCCAGCCCCATCCCCATGCCCAGCCCATGCAGTGCAGCCACCCTCGATGTCCTCCAGCCTGGTTTCCATGGCAAAGCCCCAGGAGCGTGGGCTGGAGGGGAGCTGTGGCATCTGACGTGGCTGCTCTGGGGCACTGGGTGCAGCAGCAGAGCTCTGTGGGTGGGAGATGTGGGAGATGTGGGATTACTCACCCAGGAACCAGCTCTGCTCCTCACTGCAGCAGCCCTGGCAACCCTGGTGATAACGCTGCCTTCTTGCTCTTCACAGCTGTAGGGAAAATTCTGGTGCCTACCAGGAATTCTTGCTGTGTCTCAACACTCAGAGCCAGTTAATAGGCTCATATCTTGTGGAAGTGAGAGCAGCCATCCCTGGTACCTCACAAATAATCTGTGTGTGCAGTGCTGGCTTGGAGAAAAGCAGACTCCAGCCGTAAAGCACTTTCAAAGCACTTGTCCAACATAACATCTGGCATTTCTTGGCTTTTCT